GAGAAGTAGTGCTTAAACAGTATAAAACTACAACTTTCCCTTCTGTTGATAAAATGCGCAGCCATCTTGGACTCTGAACTCGGGATCCTCTGTGCTGCTCCAAGATCTCAGAAAAACTGGAGTGCGCATGCCGTCACTTCCGGCTTCAAAACTCTGGAATCCGCCTAGGAATACGAGTTCCCAAGGCAAATGGACCAAAATGCACCAAAACTGCCCAGAGACATTTCAGGGATTTTGAGTCATTTTGCGCTGCAGATGGGTTAATTGCGTTAAATTAAAATTTTAATCAGATTAATCGTGATGATGAATTAATCTGCGTTAACCCGTTAATTTTGACAGCCCTAATTTATATATCTGTATTACTGCTTCTGTCCGTATGTACGCTACTAGTCAAAAGTTTTTGCACATCGCAGGTTTTTAACCACTTTTCTTTTTACTTCATAAACTGCAGATTTTTCATTCTTGTTAAGCATTGGAAAGTTGAGTGAACATATAGACATGAAAATATGTCAAATAAAACAAATTTCCTTTATAACATGGGAAGAGTATGCAACAGTGTATGTCTGACATCCTATTGACTGGTTGTGTGGTGATGGAATAGTCAAATTCGAGGCTGTCTTAAGTTTAAATGCACTAGTTAACCATAGCATCCCATGAAACAGAGCAGTATTTAATATCCCTTGTAGAAAGAATGCCTCAAAATTTCTCTGCTGTTATAATTGCTAGAGGAGGTTATTTTGATGAATCAAAGATATGACATTTTCTTGCTAATAAAGGTACTCAAATGGTGAACATAGTGTAAATTTGTTACTAAAGAATTTTGAGTGTATTTTTAGTAAATGGTAAGTGAGTAACATGCAAATGTAGAAAATCTCAGCCTGTGCAAAAACTTTTGACTGGTAATGTACAGTCTTATGCAAAAGTTTGGCCACCCCTCGATAAATAACATATTTTGGTCATTTTTTAATTTAAAAGATGTAAACACAGTCTCTCTAGGAAATGGAAAAAATGCACAATATTTCCAGCAAACATTTATGCATAGTTACTTTTTATGTGATAATTTGAACAAAGACAAAAAATAAAATCATTATTGTGGCACTCTGCAAAAGTTTGGACACCATACATAATCAGTACTTAGTAACACCTCCTCTGGCAGATATCACAGCTTGCAAATGCTTTTTATAGCCAGCTAAAAGTCTTTTAATTCTTGTACTGGGGAATTTTCTCCCATTCTTCCTTGCAAAAGGCTTCTAGTTCTGTAATATTCTTTGGTGGTCTTGCATGCACTGCTCTTTTAAAATCTACCCACAAATTTTCAATGATGTTTAAATCAGGGGACTGTGATGGGCATTCCAAAACCTTCAGCTTGTGTCTCTTGAGGTAGTCCATGGTGGATTTCGAGGTATGTTTAGGATCATTGTCCTGTTGTAGAAGCCATCCTCTTTTCAGCTTCAGCTTTTTTATAGATGGTGTGATGTTTGCGTCCTGAATTTGCTGGTATTTAGTGGAATCCATTCTGCCCTCCACCCGTGCAATGTTTTCTGTGCCACTGGCTGCAACACAAGCCCAAAGCATGATCGATCCACCCCCATGCTTAATAGTTGGCAAGGTGTTCTTTTCATGAAATGCTGCTCCTTTTTTTCTCCAAACATGCCTTTGCTGATTGTGGCCAAAGAGTTCTATTTTAACTGCATCAGGCCACAGCACTTGTTTCCAAAATGCATCAGCCTTCTGTAGATGTTCTGTTGTATACTTCTGACATTGGATTTTATGATGGGGAAGCAGATAAGGTGTTCTTCTGCTGAATCTTCCTTGAAGGTCTTGTCTGTGCAAGCATCGCTGTACAGTGGAACGGTGCACCACCACTCCTGAGTCTGCTAAATGTTCCTGCAGGTTTTTTGCAGTCAAATGGGGGTATGGTTTGTCTTTCTGACCAGCATACGAGCAGTTCTCTCAAAGAGTTTAATTGGTCTTCCAGATTTCATCTTGACCCCCACAGTTCCCTTGAACTGCTATCTCTTAATTACATTTCTCACTGTAGAAACTGCAAGCTGACAACGCTTTGCTATCTTCTTGTAGCATTCATTTTCAGAGTCTTACACAGCTGCTTAGAGGAACCCATGGTTGTTGAGTGTCCACAAGTGTGTGAACAAGGTTTGAAGAGTCAGAGTATGAAAGGTATGAAATTGGCACCAACTGACATTTACTAATGGTGCCCTGCATCAGATCTAACAAGCCAATTAAGGTCTGAATCCTTGTAAAAAGAATCTGAGACTTTGGAACTCTTAGGGTGCCCAAACTTTTGCAGAGTGCCACAATAATGTTTTTATTTTTTATCTTTGTTCAATTTATGACTAAAGTAACTATGCATCAATGTTTGCTGAAAATATTGTGCATTTTTTCCATTTCCTAGAGAGACTGTGTTTACATCTTTTCAATTAAAAAATGACCAATATATGTTATTTATCGAGGGGTGGCCAAACTTTTGTATAAGACTGTATATCATGTATATAATGTAAATGTATTATTTTTAATATATGTGCATGCAATGCTTGCATGAGGAAGTGCCTACTACCTCATTTCGTTGACATGTGCACAATGACAATAAAAGTTGACTTTGACTATACAATTCACATGCTGTAATTAAGTGTCTTATCTACGTTACCCTTCCCTTTACTGTCACCAGGCACCGTTGCTTCAATTTTGGTGTAGTTTATCTCACAAATTTGATCAGGTCCAGATCTTCACCCTTTGCAACTTGTCTGCAAAATTTGGAAAGGATCTTGGCAAATAATTTTTGAGTTATCATGGTGACAAGATCATGTTTCTGAATCTCTGTACAGCGCTGCTTCAAATTTGTGGTGATCTGTCACAAGATATGAGCAGTTCCAATTAATCACCCAGACAATGTGCCTGCAAAGGTGAAGTAAGGTCTGTCAAAGATTTTTTAAGTTATTGCATTAATTAGAAAGCATCTGTGGTGGACTGGTCCCAAAACCATATATATATGTTGTGGGTTTGGTCTGTAGCTCTGTCGCCTTAGATATCCAGGGATGGAGGTTGAAATACCACCCTTGTTGCAGATTTTGAATGTTCTTCCTGCACTGTTTTCCTCTCTATATTCTCATTTACTCCCATAGTCCAAAGAAATGCAGTTAGGTTAACTCATGACACTAAATTGCCTATAATGCCTGTGGGTACCCTCTGTCAGACCAGCATCCTATCCAGGGAGTGCCACTATGTTATGCCCTTGTAGACCCCAGGCAGCATAAGACCTTGACTGTGACTATAGAAATAGAGGTTGTGAAATCTCAAAAACAATGTAGCAATTAGTAACTGTTCCTTTACAATCACAGTGGACCTAATTTTGTTCCAAAATATTTGCATCGGACTGTTTCTGCACACAATTATATAAACAAAACATAAACATTTGTATTTTTTTATCGAAACCTAACCTGAAAAAACACCATATAACAAATTCTAGAAACTAAAAAACCCAGTGTAACAAGGTTGGAAGGAAAGAAAGGCTTGCTACAGAGATCTGCGTAATCAATATAACATATCTTCTGAGAAATAAAGGGTTCAAGGGACCTATGTCACCACTAACTAGGGTGACAAAAAACATTGTCTTTGAACACAGGCAATGTAAGAGTAAAGGTCTTGTTTTATGATGCTCACAACGCACATTTTTTAGTAAAATAAAAATAACAACGTGAGCTACAACAGAGAACCATGTGCAAAGTAAGCAGTTACTGCTTTTGAAATATGACTATAAAACATTATGCAGTATGTAAAAAGGTAGGATAACTATTTACACTACTGTAAAGTTGTAAAAAATAATTACAGACACAACTATAGGTGAAAATGCACATATTGTATAGAAATTCAAAATGTATATGACCCTTACTCAACTAATAGACACCACAAAGAGGAATTAATTCCCAGTGTTGACTTCTGAAACCATTTGTATTGTGTCCATATTCATGGACTGAAAGGAGCTGTGACAAAAAGGGAAGGAAAAGACCAAAGATACAGTCCAAGATTGTATACAGGCAGCAGTTATAAAATGGGTGGATGGAAAATGGGTGGATGGATATAGCTCTGTACAAAATTAATTTCACATGTTCATACACAGCAGGAAAATTACGCAAAGGACTCTTAAATCATAGTTCTCTACTGTAAAAGTAGTCTTCTAGGATTTTACAAGTTCATGGGAAAGAAGTCAAAGAAATAAGGTCTATCCTATTCCAAGATCATAAGTGCTAAATAAATCCGTAGCTAAATGCCGGCGAGTGTAACAGGTTTCTAGTGCAGGAGAGGTATCCAACTTGGATAAAATACTGGAGGCCGCTCAAATTAGAGCCAGCACAGTTTCTGATTACCGTCCCGAGTATCCCTTGCTATGTGCACACAGCCTTGTTTTTTTCCACTAAAACTGTTTACGAAGATTACGCCTATAGCAATAATTTTGGAGATATCGTTGGTATGCTGAAACGTGATAAATAATGACTCCACAAGCTATTTGTCAAGAAAATACATCATTCAACCCGAGTTTAAAGAGTAATGTATTTATATCCGACAACTAATTCCCATCGATTTTTTGGGGGGTGGAAAATACGTTTTCTACTTGCGGCCACTGAAAAAGTAATACCAACATCTGAAATTTACTTAACTTCTTAGGTACATGATCATACACACACAGTATGCACAGTACAGCAAAACACATAGATTTTACAATAACATCGACAAAAGTAAATCATTCGACTAACACGAAAATACTAAATGCCGCTAAAAGTTCACGGTATCCAAGACTTGTTTTGTAACTACTTACAAAACGTTAAATTAAAATGTATATGTAATTTTTAATATACTACTCTTATGACTAGAGAAAACAGCACGGATACTATGGCTACACGTAACAAAAAAATCCATCCATGCGAAAAAGTGAGACATTATGGCAGGAATGTACATTTCTCTACGTATATAAATATAAAACTTACCTCGAATAGTCGAAGACTCCTTGATGCTAATTCTATTTCATTCCACAAATAAAAATCTTAGCTTTCACTTCAAAATGCAAAGCATTAATACTTTAAAAATAAGTGGCAGAAAACATTCCAGCGCACCCCACTTCCTATGCAGCCAGCGTGAGCTGAGCCATAAAAGGAGCGCTACATGTGGGATCAGGCAGAGGAAGACTTCATGGAATGAGGAAGGGGGTGGAGGAACCGTTTCAAAACATTTCTCCAGAGCATGTTTGACCATTATCATTTGCTCAGAACCAAACAGTTAGTAATAAAAATGCTTCTGGTGTTTCAGGTTTCTGCCACAGGATAAATACTTTACGAAACCCTCAGATAGGACCAGAATGGTCGCATTTACCACCCCTTCATGAAAGTAATGTAACACCGTCCATTTGTGCCTGTCAGTGTTCCCCTTTACAATAGCCGTGCCAGAGCATATTTTGTAATTTATAAGCTTACTGGGAAAGAGATTTCCAGTGTGGTATTGATTTTTATTATTGATACAATATTAAAATTCTATTTTTACCATTATTAATTTATAGGGAGAATAATGCATAATTTATAAAGCAGAATAATGACAAAAATTTGGCCTAACATATAGAACATATGCCAAAATATGAAGCATTTTTTGACGCGCAATGTACTACGAACCAATCTTCAGTTTTTCACATTAGACCCTTCTTGAATATTTTTGTGGCGCCCAAGGTAAATTATTGGATGTAGGGTAAAATTTCTTAAAATGAAAATAACTATATGCAGAGTGTAACACCCAGCTGCCAGAGGTGCCCCAGAATCCGCCACAAGCAGCAGAGAGGAAAAAAAGAGGAAAAGCCGAAGATTGGAGGACTTACCAGAGGTCCTCCTGGGGTCCATTTTTGTGTCCGCTGCCTCTCCTGGTTCGATCCTCAACCCGGCGGTATTCTCCTCCCCGGGATTCCCCGCCAATCCACAGCAGATGTCCAAAGATCGTCAGCCCGTCACTTCGCTACCAGCACCAGCAGCTCGCCCCTTTCTGGGGATGCGCCTGGCCTTTAAAGGGGCCAGGGCTATTAGGGATACCATCCCGTGGGTCCCAAAGTTCCTTAAACGGGTGATGCCTGATGCTGAGGCGCAAACCCCGGCTGCGCCCCCCGAGGTTCCTGTGCTGGCAAATCCTGTGCTGGCACTTCCTGCTGCACCCCCCGAGGTTCCTGCGCCGGTGGTTCCTGCTGCGCCCCCGAGGTTCCTGACCCGGCGGCTCCTGCTTCACCCTCCGAGGTTCCTGACTCTCCGGCTCCAGTCCCCCTGGTTCCTGACCTTCTGGCTCCAGTCCCCCTAATTCCTGACCCTGCTCCCGTGCTCCCGGCTCACATGGCCCCAGTCACGGTCCCCGAGGAGGTCCCAGACTGTCAGACCACCGCTCTTTCCCACTTGGAGGAGGAGGAGCTCGAGGGGGACCCCTTGGGGATTTACCTAATAGCCCCAGTGTACCCCTTCGGAGGGTCACCCCCGTCACCACCCCAGCATGGCCAATCTCTGTCAGGACCTTGGCTCTCTGTGTCCCGAAGAGGACATCTGCGCAGGGGTTGGGTGGGGTTGGGTCCCACCCGCCGGGCCCCCTGGTGTTGGCTCGGTGGTCGCCTGCAGGTCCTCCAGCTCTAGCTCGGCGGTCGCCTGAGGTTCCCCTGGCTCCGGCTCAATGGTCGCCTGTGGTTCCCCCTACGGTGTCTCGTCGGGCACCTTCAGTCCCACCTCTAGCGACTCGACGGTCGTCTGTGGGTCCCCCTGCTCCGACTTGTTGGTCACCTGCGGGTCCCCCTGCTCCGACTCATCGCCGCTTTGCCGGCTGTGGCTATGCCTTCGCCTGCTGCAGCTTTGGCTCCCTCCTCCCCTTCTCCGGTCATTGAAGTTTTGTGAAGTGTTGTGACCTGTTTTACCTCGAATGCCTCTCCGTTTTCTAATTAAATCCTCATTCCTCGATCATTCGTTTTCTTCTCCTGTTTCCCTGGTCCGTGCCCCGCACTGTGTGATATAGAGCCATCCAAAGTATATTATTGGGGACCCATTCTTCACTATTAATATATTTGTGCATACCAACCAGTTGATTCAAACGTTTCAATAGTCATCGAACTGCATATATATATGGTGAGATCTCATATCTGACACTGGAATACGAAAATTATAGACGTAAAGAGAACTATACACCCTGACATAGTTGACCTCTTGGTGGTGCTATAACATTATTCATGTTGCCACTGCATATCCTGGTCAGGGTCACATGGGGTGGGGGCCTGGAGACTATCACAGACAGCATAGGGCATTAAGCAGGAGTAGAACAACAATATGGACATATTAACTTATATATGATTAAATACATTTTAGCTGGAGTATTTGTCTGGAGGGTGTTTTGTGATAATATTAAAAAAATAAATACAGCTCTGGAAAAAAATTAATAGACCACAGCAATATTTTCAGTTTCACTCATTTCTCAATGGGTTAAATCAGGCTACATACATTATATACGTCACAGTTTGTACATAGTGGCATTTTACCAGGGAATGTTAAAGATGTCATACTTATGTTGCTCAGATGCAGAAAGTTGGATGTTTCTTTTCAATGTTAAAGGAAGGCAATAAGGCACAATAATGCTCTCATAAGTTAATTATCTTAACGTGTGTATACATGTATTCTGTTTTGTGTTACAGTAGGGTGCCAAACATGCACAAACTCAAAGAAACAGTTTTTTAGATATACACTCAAAATATGGGTCTAGCACGTCAGGTTCACCAGTCGGTTCTCCCTTTTACACAGGTTCAGTGGATATAAAATGCCTACATGTGGCTGATACAAATTTGATTTTGTCCTTAGGAACAAAAGTAGCTAGCCTGATTAATCATTAATGAAGTCTTCCATATATGACAAACCACAAAATACCACTGCCTAAGCATATCTGTTGAATTATCAATATCAATATGTTTACCTTAAGGCAATTTGCACCGAGAACCAAAGTAGCTTCTTTCCTTGGATAAATGCCGAAGATGGTAATAGGTTATATTTAAAAGTCTGTAAGCCTAGTGATGAAGGTTCTTAAAATGGCAGAAAATAAATACATAAAATTACATATTTTACTAAGTATTTTACATATTTTAAATGCATAAAATACAATCTCTCAAAGTATTTTGTTACAAATCACATATGATTTTTTTCTGTCCACTGTATGTACTATCTGTATGGCTCAGTATTGCCTCACATGACCTGGGTTGCGGGTTTAAACTCCACCTATTGTCAAGTCCTGCCAAGCCCCAGCCAGAGTGGGTTTGCCTTACCTCTTGTTCCTGCCCTGAGTAATTGGCCCAGGTAGAGCTGGGTGATATGGCAAAAAAAAATATCACAATATTTTTTCCTGTATTGACCCATATCGAAAATTATCAAGGTGTGCAGTGGAGTCCATCCTCACGGGGAGTATCACATCCTGGTATGGTGCCTGCACTGCACAAGACAAAGAGGCCTTGCAGAGAGTGGTGAAGACAGCGCAGAGGATCATCGGCACACCACTTTCTGCGACAAAGGACATTTACACCACGCGCTGTCTCAAAAAGACAAAGCGCATCATGGAGGACTGTAGTCACCCTGCACTGTCATTTTTCACTTTTCTGCCATCTGGCAGGAGAATCAGGACAATATATACATGCACAGCACGATTCAGGAACAGCTTTTACTCTAGTGTTGTAAGACTGTTCAACACCCAGTAACACAGTAACAAGAGAGGCTTTTCTTTCTCTCTTTTTCTCCAGGCAATAAAAATTGTCTCCTCATACCATGTGCAATGCTGTAGCACACAACACTTTACATGGCACTGACACTTTATGTCATATGCACTATTATGTGTTCTATGTTTTGTCTGAAGTCTTACAAGTTTTATCTGTAGAGATTGTACTCAAGTAAGAATTTCATTGTGCTTTGTACACTGTACTCTTACCTCCGCATTCCGAGGTCCACCTCCTCTATCACCGCAGTTCACCACAATAATAATAATAAACTCAAACTCAATATTATAGTTTCACAATGATGTTCCATGTAATAATGTAATAATTAAAATAATAATAAAAATTACCATATTCTGACAAATAGAATGAATACATTGAAATAAACAATATTAGTAAACAAATATTTATTTTCCAACAAATTTTACTGTTTACATACAAAATTCCCTTAAAATTATAAAAGGTTATTTGATTTTCAAGTATTCAAAGAAATATATAGCTCAAATGAACAAAACCATATAGTAATGTAACAATGTACAAATCAGTATAATATTACAAATATGTCAAAGGGTAAACATAAAATAAAGCAGGACAGAACTGACTGCAACAAGTATCTGCCTCTATTCTTGATCTCTTAAAAACTTTTTAAAATTCTGAGGTAGAAAAGTATCTAAACCAAACAAAAAACACTTATTCAAAAATATGCCAAATCATGGTTAAATTTTTATGTCCAGCGCTGAAAAACGTCACCACGCGTCACCATGTCACACGGTACAAAATTATGGAAGGCCAACGGGGCCAAAACGTCTTAAAAAACACGTCGATTTTTTACATGCAAAAAATCAACACGTCGATATTTCACATGCAAAAAATCAACACGTCGATATTTTACATGCAAAAAATCAACACGTCGATATTTCACATGCAAAAAATCAACACGTCGGTTTTTCACATGCAAAAAATCAACACGTCGGTTTTTCACATGCAAAAAAATGATCACGTCGGTTTTTCACATGCAAAAAATCAACACGTCGATTTTTCACATGCAAAAAATTAACATGTCGATTTTTCACGGCTAAAGACGTATTTTTTTACGCCTTCAGACGTCAAAAACAGGCAGAATTTCTCTCTTTTTAAATGAGGACATACACTTAATTATTTTTAAATATGATAAAATATGTGCATGTATGCCTATATTATTAATATTCTTAATTACAATTCGTTGGTACTAGTAGTTGTATTTAACAAATTCTTACTACTCTTCTTCTTCTTCTTCTTATTATTATTATTATTAAAGTGAGTAATTATTTGTCACCACAGCACAGTGCACCACAACTAAATGTGACCTCTGCATGTGACCCATCTGTGAAGGAGCAGTGGGCAGCTGACAAGCACTGTGCCAGTAGCAG